CCTAACGAGAGACGAGCTTCCCTTAATCATTTCTGCGAGATTTCCGCGCGATTCCGCGCCGTCGACGCGCCGCACTCCGCTACGTAGTTTGTTGTAATAACGAGGAATTCAATTAGAGAAATGCAGATGTGCGTGTACCGTGTTAAAAGATAGAGAAAGAAACGACGATACGAGGGGAGGGAGAAGGTATCACTCGCGCGTACCTTGCCTCCTCCCCCCCCTCCCGCTGTATCAAGTGAACGTCGACCGCCACTGATCCTTGAGCTATCAAATTCGCGGGTCTTCGGATTCCGGGGAGAATGCCCGCCACTACCGCTGTTGTCACTGCACGAATCTACGGGTCCTCGCGGATATCCCGGCGAGAACGGAGGTCCTCGCGTTCCCGAGTCCTCGCTCAAACGACTCGATGAGACTCCCGAACGCGTTCGGATCTCCCCCCCGGATCTTCGGACCCTCGGATCCCGCGGGTGCCTCTGCACGCGGATCCCCGTCGACGTCCAACGGATTCGGGAATCTCGCTGATTCGTCGAGGAGCCCGCGGGGCAAGGACTCGCGTGCCCCCCGGCGAAGATCGACCTTGTTCCGACCTGGTTCCCGCGCGCATGGGAAGTACTAATTAGTTCGGCTTGCGCGAATTTGATCTCGCAAGGCGCGGTTCTCAAGCGCGCGTCGTTTACAGTCGACGATGCGATCGGGAATCGCGAAACGTATTCCCGGAGGGGGAGGGGAGTCGTGCGCGATGCCGCCCTCGAGAGTAAATAGGTAGACGTAGCGAGAGAGAATGAGGGAGAAAGGGAGGGAGGGAAAGAGAAAGAGGGATGTGTGTCCCGAAGTTCGTGGTATATTGTACGCGCTGGTATTTTTTCGGTGTTCCGCGACGATAGAGAGTAAAATTAGAGGTGAATAAATAAAAATGAAAAAACAGATCGCGACGCCGCAGCCGGCGCCGTTATACATTGATATTTACATAAGCCAGAGAGAGGGAGAGAGAGAGAGAGAGAGGAAAAACACGGCGTCGTAATGTGTATAGATAAAATAATTTTGGAATGCGCGAGACGCGAAACGCCGTGAAAGACGATGATGTTACTACCGCATGACGAATAATAACAATTAATTATTATTAACGATTACAATTAAATATTGTCCTGATTATTATTAGAGACCTATGGAGATTTATTACTGCGACCACGAAGTTCGCAAGGAAAAAAAAAAGAGAAACTTTGATCTTTTATCGCAAGGGAGATACGAAACCAAATATATAAGCGTTTGTAAGTCACACGTGAAACACTAACAAAAATAAGTTAACGAGAGAAAGAGCGAGCGAAAGAGAAAGAGAGAGAGAGAGAGAGAGAATGTGAGTAAGAGTGAGAGAAAGTGCGCGAGAGAATGTAGGAGAGAATGATTATGAACAAGAAAAGGTGGGTGCAAACGAACAAACGAACGAGCGAGCGAGCGAAGGAGCGAGTGTGCGAGCGAGCGTGAGATAAAGAGAGAAACACAAATGTATGAGAAGCATTAGTTCCGTTTTTGAGTGTTGAGAATGTTCATTTGTAATTGTTTAAATCTAATGAAAAATGTATTGTAAAACTATAAGTACTATAGGCACTAAAAATATATCATTTGTTGACATGAAAAAATAAAAAAAACACTAAGTGGTATGTATTCTGTCGGCCGTTGCACGCGCGCGAATGCGCGCACGACACGTACACACGCGCAATCGATGCGTCCGTCGCGTGCGTGAATCCCATTTCCGTTTTGGATGATAACGAAGCCGCGAATTCAAATGCAAAATGACCTCGCACCCGTTTGCCGCACCCGTTGAACAAAGTTACCGAGTTATCGTTCAAAGTGAACGAATTAAAGTGCACAAGCGTGCATACGTAATCGATGCGTTATCGCGTGCCTGAAACCCATTCCATTTGAAGGATAACCGACCCGTGTGGAAATTTTAGTTCCACGTTAATCCAGCTTCAACTGCTTTAATTCCGTGCAATTTGAAGGACCAATTCTCTTTGAATCTTCGGAAGAGAATCTTGAGATTTAACGTTATCTTTAACCGTCAAGTTTGCGGCGGGATTTGCACAGGAACAGTGAAGAACCGAAATTTCGATTCGGCACAAATAAAAGTCGCAAGATAGTCTTTGCGTTGCCGCACCCGTTGAGTAAAATTGCGGACTGTGGAAAACTGTACCGTTGCGTGACGCTCTGATGCATCTATCACACGGGAGCCCGTTTTATCATACTCGTCATAAGTCTGTGTCAATGGTCGTTTCTTAAAATCGGTCTCACCTGAGATACTCCGACGTAAGTTTCAACTCAGATTTGACTTTTTCAATTAAATCACACGGTATATGCGACATTAGAAGAAAAACACAAAATTGACATAAGTATTATAAACCGACGTACTCATATTTCTCGGCTGTCAAGTACCGAACTCCGTCGGACAGAACATGAACTTCGTTTACTGTATACAGTAATTGAAGCCGGAGTGACGATTTCTGTTTAGAAGCGCGTCCGGTTGTCATTAGCGTCGTTTGATTTTTCATTGTGCTTACGAAGTTTTGCTGAGCTACCCAGTCAGAAGCACGAAATTGAATCAAATTCGATTCGACGTCGAAACGGTTGATGATCCAATGAATTGAATGAATGTCGATTTTGCTACAATATCGACCCATGTGATTTTTCATATTTCGTAGAATATATTATTTATTTAAACTAGCTGTTATTGTTATTTTAATCGTTATTATCAGTCAATGATTGAGTAATTATAATATCAATATCAATATAATCATGATATAATATAATACAATATAAATGATAAATGAAAAATTTTCGATAATGTTGAATCGACATCAAACAAAGTTCCTACTTTATTCATCTCCGTTCTTGCCTTAGACTGGTGATACATACCAAAGCGTAAGCAGAAAACTTTTATTTCCATCTTGGAGATAGAAATAAAAGATTCTGATTTGTTAAAAAAAAAAAAGGAAAAACACTTGAAAGGTCAATATATATGCGTACAAAATATATACAGTAATATATGTATTTTTTGTGTGTATATTCTCTAATTTTTCCAACCATATACTTTTTATTTTTAAATATAAAATTATAAATACTTTTTTACCTTCCAATTCTGTTGCAAATTATACCCTGTCAAAAGTGAATTTTAGCTTGTAGAGCAAATCTTTTCTTCTTTTGAAACACGATTAATTAATTGATTCGACGGTGAAATGACGTTGAAATTTCAGTCAAAGATACGTCTATATTTATATGTTTTCGACGTCGAATTAATCTAAATTTCGATATTGGGTTTTTGACGTTAATTCGACGTCGAATGAACTAGATGTTTCTGGCTGGGTATCTTGTGAAAATTAAAGTAACAAATCAGTAATAAAAGTAATCTACCGATCCCATTTAATCGCGTCAGCGACGATTTCTGAGCGGAGCGCCGTAAAATCGCAAATAATACGATCGATCGTTCCACCACGCTCATCTCGTTAAAGTGAATCGAAATTTATGCCGGCGATCGCGGTTACGTCGCGACGACGCGTCGATCTCGCCGTTCCGCGTTTTACGTCAACACCGTTCCTCCCCTTTTCTTTCCATTTTTTTACATCTTTTACAAAAGTCATCCGATTAGCGAGCCGTTGCATCGGGAATACCGTGCACTTAGGGAGAAACGATGCCTCCGAGAGTCGTGAAGATCGAACGTCGCGAAGAAGGTAAGTGACATTTCGACGGTATTTGCGTGGAAAATGTCCTCGTAATACGCGTATATTCGCTATTTATAACCATAATTCACCTCCATAATTCACGTCCATAATATTAAATCATAAAAAGGGGTTAGTACGTTAGCCAGCACAGCCGCTGATCTAGTCGCGAGTCCACGATCGGAGATGTCGGAGCGTTGTACATACGTGGAGGACTAACAACGTACAAGGTGCATATAATTGTAATCTAGTATCATCGTGAATAATACTCATATACGAGCAAATACGTTCCCCATGTTGAATCTCTATGTGCCGCGCTATTAATAAGCTTGTGCAAATGTTCCTTGCCGACTTACTTTCAATATCCTGCTGAGCAGCTAGAAATAACAGACACGTATATTTTTTATATGTGTTTTCTCTTGGTTATGGAAAAAAATATATTTGAAGCCGTCTGATGTATGAGAGTCTTATAAAAATGTTATGCCACTTGATGGACTTTATTACCGTGCACTTGGAGTTTTGAAGAAATGTCGCATCTTTCAACGTTCTCTCACCTTTTGTTATTGTTTTCGCAACTGTGTAAGGCGAAAATTGAAATTTGTAATATCCAGAGAAAGATTAAAACATATACGTTAAAGTTATTTTCTGAAATTGCAATCTTCTCGCTCAAAAGTACGAGTAGCAAACGCCGCACTATAAGTAAGTACAAACGTGTCGTAGTCAGACACGACGATTTTGAAACTTCTTTACAATATGGTTTACATTTACAACGATGAACGGTTTACGAACGAGTACGTTTACAATTCAACTTTATACTTAAAATGCAATTTCAGAAAATAATTATATTATACTTGAACATAACCGAATAAATGGAAATAATTCCATATTTTCGACATAGAGAGAAAGAATTTTCACTCAAATGATACAAGTCAAGGATAAATCTGATATTCAAGAAACATTCGAATTTCATGAACTTTTCTTTCATGTAATGCAATTTAACTGCATGCATTAATTAGAAAAGGATCAAGAGATTCAAATGTGTGTTTATACATAAGTAATAGAAAAATGTTTATTGAATATATAGTTACATATTATAATGGTAATAAGGATGTCAATGATGACAATGTTGATAACAGTGATGAATAATGAAAAAGGATAATAATCTATTATATAATAAACTATATTATGTATGTACAATATACATATATTATATAATAAAGATAACTATTATATAATATATATTTTATAGTAATATAAAAGAGAGAGAGAGAGAGAGAGAGAGAGAGAGAGAGAGAAAGAGAGAGAGAGAGAGAGATAAAACTAATTATATATATATATATATAGAGAGGGAGAGAGAGCGCGCCGTGTGTAGCACAATATTTAGAGCTTATATACCCTACAAATGCGAATCTAGAAAATAACTGTATTATACATATGAATAAAAATTCAATGTAAAATTTTCTTAATTCTCATCATTATTAAAATTTTGGAATTTATGAGAACGATAGTGTAAGACAATAATATGTTGAAAATATAATATTTATGTAAGTTATTTAATTGCACCATTATAAATAGATTATATAGAGTATCCGATGATTTTCTCAGAATCCGTAATGTGCAGAACGGATAAAACTGAACAAAAAAATGACGTACTATTTTGCAAAATTTGCAAAATGGCACATGACTTTTTTCTTCAGTTTCATCCTTCTACCTGCACACTACGGATCTCGAGAAAATGATATCGGACACCCTATATATACCTTATAATTGTAAAGATATTCTCTCATAATTAATAACAAATTACCGTCGAAGAGTTATTTTAATTCGTAAACGTACAAAGAGAAACACATATAAAAAAAAAGCATCTGAAAAGTGTCTCCTATATTTTTAGTTACTCTATAATATATCCAATGCCGATCAAACTCATCGAGGGACACCTCTAAACGTGTCTTCATGAGACATCGATTAAGTTCTCTACGAATGTTAAAAAAATAACACGTCATTTCGTCGTGCTCTCTCCTTCTTTTTCTTTCACGTTTAACACTTAAGTCGTTGCTCGCTATGTATCTAAAAATAAATCTCATAAAGACCTCTAATATATCCAATTAGTACGTCTTGATACTGATATGTATAATGTTAAAATTTATTAGAACTGTTGAACTCGCAATATATCTATCGAAGGATCCAAGCTGCGCCGTAAGGTTAGATGACCTATCGCAGGATGAAATGAAGCCAAGGCTGAAGGAAGACAGCGCGGGCATTAATTTTCAAAGAAGCACCGGGCTATATTCGCACACAATGGATAGGTTTTTCCGCGACCGAGTGAAAGCTAATTCGAAGGAACCCGCGCGTTTCGTTAACCCTTTAAGTCTCAACCATCACAATCGCGATAGTCACACGAAGGAAATTAACTGTTCATAATACAACTTGATGTTTAGTCATCAGACCTAGTTTTTAACCTCAACAATAAGGGGTCACGTTTAAAAAATTCAACTTGACCTTGTCCTGATCTTGGCGACACTACCCATAGTCAGACTGGTAAGATAAATAGATCTTGTTAAACCATATAACTTTTATCCGAAACACTTTTCTGTAAAACTTATATTTTTCGGAATTTTTCAAGGTTTCCATATTTTTCCCTCACCTCGTATATGACTTACTGCCCATCATAACTGCGAGTGAGTTTCCGGCACCTATATGAAAAAATTTTTTGTGATTTTTCCCTAAGATTTTAAGGTAGTTTTGAAAGAAAATAGCACTTAGAAAAAGTTTCCAAATAAAAGATTTCTTGGGTATTAAAGTGTTGTTTTCTAGTAGCGCGCTCGCTTATCATTACTGCTTATCGCGTTCACAGAGAAATGTCCTCGTCGGAATTGCGTACGTGAGCATGCATGAATGCATAACGCATCACCAAATAAATAATTGCAGATACGGGTTCCACGCGATTGGAAAAAGTTCCATTCGAGCTCAGTCGTTGTCGGTGAAATTCACGAAAGAAGCGTCCGTGTTATTACAACAAATTGGCGAATATGTTGAATTTCTACAACGGCTGTTGCTATTTCTGCTGTTGTTGCTGTTGCTGTTGCTGCTGCTGCTGCGTGGGACTGCTGATGGTCTCCATTTTCTGCTCGTTTTCCTGGTCCGGCGAATCTTGCTTCGTCTTCTTCTCGTCGGTGTCATTCGTCGGCGGTGCCAGCAACGCGTTCAACAGGCCTTGCACATAAAACATTATTGTTAGAAAAATCGCAGATGCGATAAAAATCTTCTCTCTAAGGTAGTTGACCCGTTTATTTTCTTAGGAATCTTTTTAAAACTTAACAGTACATTAGTCGAAACGTCATTTACACACATGTACATTAGATTGCAAAATAGTTTGAAACTTTTTTCTCGATGCAGATTCGCCCGATTATATAGCATAAGTCATATTAATAAACATTTAACACAATTTTGTTGCGTCGAGCTTCTTTGTATCATATCAGACATGAACTTTCCAACAGTACTCTCACAGTACTCCAACTACCTTAAGGATTAATAAATACTCCAGAATAAATTAGCATTAGACGTATATATTGTTTCACTAATCGTTGATTAAAATTAACTGTAATTTACTCACCGACAGTTTCTCCTTTGAACGAAGCTCCTAAAAGAAAGTCTCGATTAAATCAATATCGCAGACAACTCGTTCTTTCGAATGCTCGCAGAGTAATCTCGCCAAGCGTTACGCTTCATTTCTTCTTCTAATTCAAGCATTAACGTCTCGGAAATAAAGTCTCCTTCGCCGCGAGCAGAGATCAACTTACACTCACCGTTACCACGGTATTTATTCAGCTGCTGGTACACCTGCTTCATCCGCTCGATGTTGATGCGCGAGCTCTTACTGTGATTCACTATCGGCAGCGAATACTCTTTGCCGATGATGCACTTGGCCGCATGCTGTATGCTGAGCGGCGCGTTCCACGGCTCGTGGATGTATCTGGTCGGGAAGTTCTTCAGCACCGGCAGGTAACGCCTGATCGACAATGCAACGCGACGGGATTAGGATTAGGATCAGGATTATCCACAGAATTATCCACACGTTTCCTCGCACGCACGTCCCATTTAGAGTGCGGTAAGTCTGATTAAAGTGATTTATTCACTAAGTGCCGTATTTTCAGCGGCTCGTCTCTCAAGGGAACCTCTGATATAAGACAATGGGTGAAATGGGCCGATTTTTGCCTAAAAAGTGTAAAATGAACTATTCATGTAATTTTATACTTTTAGGTTGCTGAGAATACGATGGTACGCTGAGAAGAATATTCGATCATATCTGATCGGGTAATCCAATTAAGGCTCCTTGATATTCTCTTTGGCTCTCCTTCTCTGATGACGTCAGAAGCGAGAAAAATCATCCCAATTTATGTGACAGTATATATGGAAGTAAAAGAATGTACGCACAAAATAACATTCGTGATTTCGATTAACGTGTATCTCTCTACCGAAGCAGTTCAAATAAGATTTTGGAAAAAAGTGCATAATGCAAAGGAAAAAATATTTATTTGTTTACGGGAGTAACGGAAATCTGTCGTTAGGCTGCTTAATATCGGTGACGTTAAAGGGAAAGATTGAAATAGAATATACGTAGTATCGATATCCAATTGCAGCGCGGAGGGCGAGATTCGCTCGCGTTTGTGCGAGGCGATGGGTAACAAAGCCGTTTCGTGACGATATTAAGGAAGTCTTCTCATTTGGAACGTTTCGTTTGATAGGTGACTTTTAGGAACGTTTTTGAAAAATTTATAAAACATACAATTCTGAAGTTTCTTGCCCAAATATTTTTCTTTGCTTTAAACGGTAATTTTCACACACATAATTGAATCTTTTTGTTTTATGTAAAAAAACGTATAGACTACCTATTAATAACAAAACCTCAAAAATTATAATTTTGTGAGTGGAATTCTTGAATAACTATGGCCAATTATTTTCAATATTAATAAATTTATAAATAATTTTGTTAGCGCTGAGAATGCAAAAGGTTGTCACGATTTCGAACCTTTGCACGCTTCTGAAATGACCAAAACCGCAATTAAATTATTAAATTATAAACTTGTAACTATCCTCCCTACCACGATAAAATCGGTGGCCTTAATGTCTCGATTTTCCAAAGACTTCCGAAACTGAAAAAGAACTGGCCAAAAATCGATGTTTCTCTTTTAAATCGCGTCATTTTGTCCAAAATCAATATTTATCTTCCATCATGGTAACGATAGCTACAACGATAGCTACAAGTTTATAGTTTAATCATTCTTTTGTCGATTCTATTTCAGAAACCTACAACGTTCGAAATCAACGTGGGAACCATGCAAGTAGAAATTTGTTCAACGCTGTGCAAAAATAATTCCTACGTATAAATTATTGTATACAGTTGAAACATAGACAAATATTTGTACAAAGCTTCAGAGTTGCATGTCCCGTAGTTTTTTTCACAAAAATGTCGAAAGATCACCTACAAAGCCACGTTTCAAACGAGAATATCCTCTTAATGATTTAATGAACTTCGTCGCTGTCGTGGTCTCGTCGTAGTCTCGTCGTTGATTCGCCGCAGCAATCTCTCGCACGATTAAGCTTTAATGCGGATAAGCTGTTTAACCTTCCATCTATCTTGTGGCTGAATTCCACCTCATTTCGGGATTAACAGCCGATACGTTAGAAATTAAGATCAATCAAGATTAAAATTTCCATTAGCGGCCATATCGCGCGAGCATTAATCACTGCTGCCAAGCATAGGACCGAGCATAGCTATCGTGCAGTCGTTGTTACACGACAGTGAACGCTCCGCCAAGGAGAAAAAGCCGACGAACGCGCCTATCGAAATTCATCGACAACTTCGACGAACGAGCCGAGTCGAATAAAGCAATTGATATTCTGTCAAATCGTTACCTGATATAATCACCGTTCGGGTCCGCCTTTCTGCCGAACCGCACCGGGCAGTAGCAGTGGAAGAATTGTTGGAAGAATGAGCTGCATGACAGCCACATCCACATGCCGGCATTGACAGACCAGTCGGCATCCAACAGCAGCTCATCGAACACCTTGAAGACAAACAAGCGGCTCCGATTATATAATATCAAGTGAAATATACGGAAGAAAACACTGTTTTACCAATATATTGAGACAAATATTTATTCGGTAGATACTAATAACATATTTACTAACATATATAATTTTACATTAAGAAAAAAACTTTTGTAGTGAGAAAATATACACGTTCTTAAATCTGTGGAGAGAGAGAGAGAGAGAGAGAGAGAGAGTTTTTTTCATGAAAACAACGGCAGCTGCATGAAAAAAACTGAACTACTCAGCCAGGAAATTTGAATTATGAAAAACAGCCGTTTCATTTGCAACGACCTAATAATATTTTACAGCAAAATTCAAGTATGTCAGTTGGAAAACTAATAAATTTAAATATGTCGGTTTAGAGAACAATCTAGCCCTAACTTCTTTTCATAGTCCAGTGACAGAAGACAGAGATTGTCACGAGATCCAAAATGATTTAAAAAGTTCAAAACTTACATTACAAAACAGAACTATTAAATATACTACTTACTTACTTGAATTTTCACAAGAAGATAGCTCGTCAAAAACTTGAGCGAAACGAAAAATCAAACGACACAAATAACACGATCAAACGCGCTTACAAACAGAAACTGCCACTTCAGCACCAACTATTGTACACAGCAGACGGAATTCATTAGTTCTATTAGATAAAATTCAATGCATTACGGCTAATAACGTATGTTGGTTTAACATATCTTTATGTCAATTTTCATGCTTTGTCTCAACAATCAAACGACCGTCGTCGCGCAATGAAACGATTTCGTCTCACCTCTCCGCCGAGTGAAACGAAGTGCTCGTTTTTCACGTTTCAATTTACTTGCTGAAGCTCCCGCTAAATTCTCATGATTACACGGGATCCCGAGATCGAAAAGTCTTAAAGTTCGGCGGGCGCACTTTGCGTACTTCCTCCGGTGAAGTCGTATAATATAGTCGGGAAAGAATCTCGAGGCGGGGGAAGTTCCTGCGGAGAGGAAGCTCGCGGAGCGAAGTTCGCGTAAACGATAAGAGTGAGCGCGAGGATGGAGGGAGAGAGAGAGAGAGAGTGAGAACGCTGCAACGCGCAGCACCGCGTCGATCGAAATGCCAAGCATGCCGTGACATTTTACCTTCATTCCTTCCTCCCACGAGATCCAAAGGTCGCCCCTGGTCAAGAAGCAAGCCACCGCATGTCTCGCCAGATGATGTATCCATCCCTCTTCTCTCAGCTGAGTCATAATCGCGTCGATCCACGGGAAACCCGTCTGGCCCTGGCGAGAAGACAAGAATCTTCCATAGCTTTGAAAGCTCGAAGAAAAACTGATTTTTTTTTCCAATTTTTCCACGGATGTTTTTAGATCTCTCATCTTCTTTACAGAAAAAAAGTAAATATGGATTTTAAATTCACACAAGTGAATTGTTCTAAACGAGCTTTCTCCACCCTTGGGAAACCGAAGAAATCCGCGAAAAAATGGGAGAAAACTGGTTTTTTCTACGTCTTCAAAACTAGAGAATCTTCGGTTTCGTGGCCGCGAATCGATCACGTAATCGAAGAGATTACGCGACAAGAGGGGGACGTCAAGCCGAGAAAGGAGATTCTAACTTCGCGAATGCGTTTCGAGGAACAAGATCCTCGGGACTTTCGCGATATTCAATGCGATGAACGATTTCTATCTCGTGCTTCGCTTCTCCCTTCGACATCCTTCCTCGTTGGAGGAAGTGCCGGAAGAACGTCGACTTCGTCAGATGCGATGCGCTAACACATTGACCGCCCCGCTGATTTCCATAGAATGTCCGATAGTTTAGCCAAAGTTTCGAGCGATCAAACATACAGCAAAGTGAATGCAATTCCTAACGAGCACGCTTCTCGTCTCGTCTCGTCTTATCGGCTCTCCATTGGCCGACCATTTAATTTAACAGACGCAATTAATCGTGTTTTACGGATTAATTAATGAAGCGTATCGGTGCCGTAATGACAGTCATCGATGACCACCGTGGCGGTCAATGAATCAACCAAGACATTCGCTACCAGAGTCATCAATGTGTCATAGCAATAATTTTTCTTGCTGTATCTACATGAGAAATTTTATTAAAAAAACGTCTTTTATACGCAACTACATAAAACCTCTTTAATAGAAATTGAATCTTGTGAATGTCCAGCCACAAGCTAATAAATTTATGACTAACATCGCTAGTAATGTAACGATTACTTCTCCTAGTGACTAGACAACAACTAAATAAATTAGCTGAGGGATAAACAAAATAAATTATAGCTACAAGATAAAAAATCATAATTAGTTTTCAGATAGTAATATAATGCTCATTTCTGCTCACACTATAAAATAGCATTATCAAGCAGATTACTTTAAATTGAATTTTCGCAAGAAGATAGCTCAACAAAAATTCCAGCACAACGAAAAATCGAACGTCGCTAATAATCGCAATCGAACGTGCTTGAACAGAAACTGCAGCTCTAACAACCGTACACAGTAAATGACGTTTATATTTTATCCGATAGAGTTCGGTGTACTTCATTCATTCGAGAAACATAAGTATGTCGGTTTATCATACCTATGTCAGTTTTGGTGCTTATCATCTAATAGCTAGTTACTGACTTTCGACTCAGGTCGACTAAATACCGTTAACGCAATATTTTCTGTCTTTTATTATGCGCCTGAGTATTTGGCGAGAAAAGAAAGGGAAAGAAAAAGGAAATGCGCTAGTCCGTCATAACTCGTTGTCGCGAAAATTCACTCACGTTTGCCCATTTTGCCAACGCCTCCACATTCTTGTCCCACGGTATCTGCACGCAAATCGGGTTGCCCTGCATCCGATCGAAATTCGGGTTCTTCGTTGCGGCGCAGTAAAAGAACTCACGCCAAAGGAGCTGGCCGTGCAGCGACAGCGGTGGCATCGCTTTCTTTATCTGAAAGAAATATCGTTGATGAGATATCTGAGAAAGTTGCCCATCTCATCGAAAAGGAGGAAAATGCGATATGTATTATTTTATCTCGTTATATCTCAGTCGAAATTTTAATCCTACGCTAAACTCTTAAGGAGGTGTTCTAGGGGGAGGGTGTTTTAGTGATAGTCATGTTAGAATCCTATATTTGACGAATTTTAATTCACGAATTTTTTTTAATAAACAACGCGAGAGAACCTCGTCACGTCAATCGCTAGAAAAATCGCGCGTCATTTCCCAACTATCAGTATTGAAATTAAAAAGAACGACAAGTGTAACACATCGGAAAAGAATGAAGAGAAACCTCTCTAACGCGATATTTTTGAGAAATATATCTCCATTATTTCCCCGGCGCTACAAGCTTTTACAGAAAACGTGAAACTCTCGGCGAACAAGCCGCGGAAATAAAAATCCGCCGGTATAATTAATGTGTCTCCCAAGTTTCGTTTAATTATTACAGTGAAGTTTCAAGCCGAAAGGCGGTGGCGGTGAGAAGGTCGGAAGCTCTCGAGTAAGAGAGAGAAAAGGAGAGGGAGGGAGGGAGGAAGGAAAGGAGAGAGAGAGAGAGAGAGAGAGAGAGGATTTCAAGGGAAAACTTCCGCGATATATCCTCGCGACGCGCGCTCAGTGCATCGCATTATCGACAGGCGCCGGGAGGCCTCCTTCTCGTACCTTCTTGTAGAGATCGGTGAGCTGGTAATAAAACAACCTCGTGCTGAGACACCCGAATCGCAAATAAGGCGAAAGCCCAGTCTGACTCGGCAGCAAGGACTGCGGCGTCATCTTCGGCCTGCCGAAGCTCGCCACCCACGCCTTCCGTTCGAGGTGACGTTCCAGCCGTGCCAGGGCCTCGCTCTCGCTGCCAACCCATACTGGAGGCAGCAAACCCTCCGTGTCGAAGCCTGCAACCAACAACAAGGAAACGCTCGAGCGACGAGAATAGTGTTCCTCGAAAATCGAGTTTGGTGGTTTCGGGATTGCGATCTTGTAATCTCTCGCATCTCACCGCGCCTCTATGTCTCCGGGAAGAAAATTCCCGCCGAAAGTACTGTAATACATTGAGAGAAAAAATATCTAAAAGTGAAAATTTTTTATTCGGTGAGTACCAGTAATATATTTATTTAGAATAATTTATCTCTCTCTCTCTCTAAATTCTTTTATTTAAACAAAATAAATATATATAATTGCTTTCATAAAAAGCTACAGATTTAAGAAAATGTATATTTTCTCATTTGAGAAAACTTTTCTCCGTAATATGTGTAATTTGTAAATATATTTTTAATGTATCCTTCTATTTTTATTTCAATTAATATATTTTTGAAATGTATTTTTCTCTAAAATATGTATATATATATTAATATAAGGAAATATGCGGTTATAATACCTATTGAATAAATATTTATTTTTAGATATTATTTCTCGGTGTGTAAAAATTGAAACTCGTGAATGCCTGGACACAAAGTAATAAATTTATGTCTAACGTCGCTAATAACCAATATGTACCAACGCCACCTACTCTATCATATTTTATATGTAATTGCTAGACAACGGTCAGATCTCAAAACCGATCCTACATTTTAGTGAATAATCAGTCAATAACGGGCTAGTGGCGAGCTTGAAAATTTAATCCAGCCTATGCTAACTAAAGCTAATAGCTTTTGATTCAGGCCGGCTAGTCGCATTTCTCTCTCTATTCAGCCAATGGCGTATTCGCGGTCTGATAATTTTTCGACGCGGAACCTCGACATTTAGCACCTCCGAGGCGATGATCGGAGAATGATTGCGGAGTGGTTCGGACGATTTGAATTTTTAAACGGCGGTTCTCCCCCCGGTGATTTTTCACCGCGCGAAATTTCGCGGAGGAGAAGGAAGAGGGGGGGGGGGGCTTCATTAGTCGGCTGCTGTGCGATATTAAATATTTCGCGATAATTAAACTGGAAATTGAAATTCCGAAAAAGCGGACTCCGCTGTAGATTTCAAGCGGAGTAATCAAATTTCGTTATTTAACTGCGCCCTAGAATCCGATTTCGCGAAAAGCCGGTGCGCTCTCGATCGCCCGCCCTCCCGTTCACCTATTCTCGCAAAGACCGGCGTAAGTAACGTCGCCCGTAACTTTCATTAAGTCGGATCGAAATTGATTAAAGAATCCGTCATTAAAATTAAAGTCGTCGGTATTTAGGACGGTCCGTGTAATACGCGACGTTACCTCGATACGGCGAAAGACGTCGGCCGCCTCCGACGTCGCGGATAATTGCGAGGAAAAAAAAATGGAAAGGGAAGGCGCGCAAAGCTGCGAGAGAAAGAGAGAAAGAGAGAGAGAGAGCGCGTTCGAGATGCGCGCCGACATTTGATAACAATGAAAAGAAGCAAAGTGACAGAATAACGAGCGACATTTGAAAGTGAGGGAAACAGGGACGGTACGTCGGACGACTGTAATGTGTCAACGATGAACGACGGCTGTTACGCCATGTATTCCGAGGCAAAAGGCTTCGAAATTCGCTCGACATATAGCAGTTAATGGCAAAACAATCGGCCGGAATGATTAATAATTAATAATCGACGTCGCGAGCGCTCGACTTACTCGTTTCTCCCGCCGGATCTCGCCGTTCTTGCGAACGAGATCCGGAAAATAATATACGAGTTTCGACGTAACAACACTGGCTGCACAACGGCCAGTTCTATCGACTCACGATAAATTCGCGTTATAGAGGTAATACTTGATTGCTCTCTCAGGGGCTGCACATTAATGCTGCAACGGCTAATCTGCCGCGAATGAATTTTCCACAGCGCAGTACGATAGACTCGCGCTAATCCGTAGTCGGTTGGTATGGAACGTTCCATCCAAAATGCATCAGGTTATTACTTAATATCGGCGAAACAACGGCCGAACGGTTCGCCGTGCGCGTCGCTTGACAACTGTCGCTCTTAATCTTAATCATTGGTAAACATTCGCACGTTCGCGGCGTTTCCTCCTCTCGAGACATCACTTTTCTTTAAGTTAGTCCGCCCGTAAGTCTATCTTCTTAGGTATTAATCGAAACACGACCTACATATAGGTTAGAGATTGACTATATCGAGACCGAGATACTTGAAATCAAAGTTCGCACTACTTGTACATATCACAGGTGCGAAAACGATTTCCGATATCATGTTTCTCATTCTAGCAACCGGACTACTCTTACGATTTTAATGAAAAATCAGAAGACAATAAAGAAGACTTGTAGAAATATTATAAAAGAGAAATACAAAATTATTGGCCATCTAGTTTCGACATATATATCACGTACAAATTGACATATACACAATTTCTGATAATGAAATTCTGAATATGACGGTTAACCTGTAAAGATTTGGTAATATTGTACCCACTATTTTTCCGTTTGTGCCGCTTGATTTTAGGAGATTTTTAAGGATAGAAACTCCTTCGTGTTGTATTAATTGCCTTCCTAACAGTATTGTAACAGACCGACTACTTTAAACCGCAATGTTTCCCGACGGGAAAGCTAGCTCGAAATTCATTGAGAAAGCTGCCGTTTAAATAAAAAGTCCGATATCTTCCGGGATCTTTGCATCGCGATCGATCACCATCAATGGTGAATTATTTTCCATCTTTCCTCGAGCACTCGTTACGTAATTATATAGCACAGCCGGCTGAAAAATATCAAGCTCATCCGGCGATATCGATCTCTCCTCACCGAGTTCCTCGAGGGTGGGCACACCGTAATGGTCGTCGTGGTCGTCCTTGAGGGGAGTATAGGCGCTGCCGATGCAGGCGGAAGTCACCGTTGGTACCGGCGGTTCCGGCGGTTTCATGCTGGCCACGACGTTTTGAAATTGATGGTAGGTCAACGGCGGTTTCCCTCCATTTTTCTCGATGATTCTGAAACGCGTAGTGAGAGAGTCGCGAAATCACTCGCGAACAACAGCGGCGGCTGCGCGACGTGACGAGAAGTTTCGCAGCTACGATTGTTACGAGTATTTCGGACGTTCGAACGTAAATTAATTATTAATTCAGTTAGCGATTCGTGATTTCAACACGTCACGAAGCGGAGAAACGAAAATATCGGGAAAATCTGTCATTCCTCGACGAGGAGTCTGCGAGGATAATCAACACGTTTGGAGTTGCAATCAAGCAAATTTCCACCAGACTTCTCTACGTCATTAACGCGGCTGTAATTAAGTGAGAAACAGATGGTCGTTCAATTGGGCCGTTAACCGTGATTAATCTCAAACGCTATTCGAAAGTCGTAAGATCCTCGGTACTCACTCGTCGAGTTTGTAGAGAGTGTGCGAGACCCTCTGGACCACCGAGATGCCGAGCTCCTTGCAGAGCGCCGAGATATTGTGATCTCGCACGCGGCCGAACGGCTCCGGGTCCTCCTCGAAGGTCAGGTTCGTCGTGCCCCACTCCTTGAAAAGCTTGGGCAACGCATCGGCGGGCTGACCTCGGATCACGAACAGCCGGGAATTGAGCTTCCTCAGAGAACAGTCCAGATCCTCCAGGCACTGCAGCAGAAACCTGCCGCACGGGCGATGTGTCGGATGAAGCGATCGAGTGCCCGGACGAAAATTCATCGAGTTCCGATGAAACTTGATGAATTTTCACGATTTTCACCTACGATCGCGTGACGATTTCGGGTAAGATTACGGAGATCTTGGCGATATTATCACCCTGGTAGAAACTGAACGCGGCAAATGTCCAAGCAGTACAATTACACAGTCAACTTTAACCGCATGTAATTTGAAAATTATCGCAGCCTCATATCAGTTTCGCACTTAAACTTTCATCTGAGAAAATCCCGAAGAATCTGTCACGTTGAAGAAGTATTATATTTCTGGGATACTCTGTATATGTTAAAATAGACAGCGCCATTTATTATATTTGATATATAATGATTAGACAGCCAGTTAAATCACAAAACTTTCTTGCATCAGCACTAATATTTACTCGACCCAAATAAAATATTCGTGAAGGAATAGTGGAATAATTATTTACTCGAATGTAGCACTTTTTTCTTTCAGAATATATTTCAATGCATAATCGGCCAATAACGGACTAATAACGAGTTAGAAAATTTCATCTAGCCTGTATTAGCTAGTTACTCATTTTTTATTCAGGTCGATTAGATTTCTATTCGGGTAAAATCAACGGAATTATTTCCACCCTCAAATCGTCGCGTTTAACTATTTAACGAAGTGTAGATAATATAACTATCGCGGTAGTCGTAAACTGATTTCGAAGAATAAACGATAGTTGCGAATGAAATGAAAAATTGAGAAAGAGATTTTTTAATTATCTTTTTGTTAATAAGTGAATACCGAGTGATTGTGTCTTTTTCGCAGGTATTTCGTCTAGTCGCGGGAAATGATTAGAAGACAATCAATAAACGTACCGCGCATTCTTCGCGATACATTGTGAGATATCTGCGCTGAGATTTTTGGTCGTTGTCGCTAATGTCCTTCTTGTCAACTGTGATTCAGTGGGATTATCGACAGCATCTCAGCGTACGATCGCTTAGGAAACGGTTATATAACGCTTAATCAACATGACAAATGATCGACAACGACGAGAAGCGCGCTCGAATGTCCGCCGCGGTAATGCGACGAGATTGCGCGATGCAACGAAGATCTACCGCACTGTTTATGGAAGCACATCGATGCGCCGGTTATCGAATTAAATAATCGATGTTCTTATTATATCATCTCTTTAAGTCAAGTTAAATATAATATATTCGTATTTATTGTTTTTGGTAAAAAGAAAACTTTTTTTGCCGTATGTTCAATAAATCAATAAATAACCTACGTTTTCATATTTAATATTTATCAGTAACTTCTTAAATATCCATACTTATTAATCATTTATACCTGTTATTAAATAAGTAAATGTTCAACACGCGTTAGTATTCGTCGAAGGTTTTCCAAAAAGCGGGAAATGATTCTAAAAAAGAAACCCCTTTGAAATATTTATCACCCGATCTCCCTCGACGATAATGCGAATGGCGCACTCAGTGCACCGACATGCCCGGTTATGGATGCGATATTTCACGTGCGACTCGAAAAAGCCCTCGGCCAATATCGATCTTTCCTTCGACCTCTCGCGGTATCGCACTCACTCACCTCCATTTATTAATGCCGACGTTGGTGCTTCCGGCGAACCAGGGGTCCAGCACGAAGACGCACCGGAAAGTGGATGCGCCTGCCAGGCCCTCCCTCAACGAGGGGTTGTCGTGCAGCCTGAGTCCCTTGCGGAACCAATGAACCGTGTGCTTCCTGCCGTCACCCCGGATCGACGTCACTCCTTGACCCATTTTGTTGTTACTGCTGCCCGTCATCTTTTCTAAGTGCGCCCTGCAGAATAGACATCGTTAATTAGCCGCGGAATAACTGACTCAGCATTTTCGGAATTAATTCCATTGCCGTTCTCCACCGCCGGCGACAGAACACCGTGCTGTATCCGCGAATTATGAACGACACAGAGGGTATTTCAGAGAGTCATCCGTTCCGTAGATCGTGTCGCGAGACTCGCTATCAATTTTTCAATCGCAATGCAAATTTAAGCGCAGTTCAATCGAAAAACAGAGATTTCTTTCTAATACGCACTGAGAGAAAAAAGTGCTTCATTCAAGTAAATAATTACTTCAATACTCCTTAACAAATTTTTACTTGGATTAAATAAATTTTACTTGGAGTAAGCAGATATTACTTGAAGGTGGCAAAATAGTACTATATTCAAATAATATTTTCTTAATCCAAGTAAGACTTTTTAATATAAAAGTCACGAACAATTTCTTCGAGAAAAAAAAAATAAGGATGATCTGCAACGGTTCGACCCGCTCTCGATTTTTTATCGCAATGCAAGTTCAATCGCAACTTAATCGGATCGAAAATGGAATCGATCAAAAACGTAGATTTTTTTGATACAAGAATCACAAATAATTTCTTCAAGAGAGAAGAACAAGGACAGGATCTGCAATTTTCGGAAGACACTTTCGCTTCCGGAATACATTCCGCTTCTAAAGAGAAGCACTCATGGCATGCGCCCTTCCCGTCCACGAGATCCCTTCTCGATTACGGCGGCAAGATCGGCGCCGGGATGTGCGTCTCGAGCTTCCTCGTGCTATCAATCGTCTCGAAGACGAGAGCCGCCCGGCGAATGTCGCGTCGCGTAGTCGGTGCTCTCTCGAAGCCCAAAGTTCAATGCGCCAGATCGATTCCCGTGGGAGCCCTTACAAATGTACCCTCCACTCTCCGTCCGGCGAAACGCGCGTTAAAGGATCCCCCAATCTTCCGTTTGTTTCGCCGCTAAGCCGGAAAATAAAAGTCTACTCGCGTGCGACGACCTGGCAAGGCCGAAAAAGCTAGCCGGGCCGCTTCGATCCGCGAAGGCTTCGTTGCGCGGAAAATTCGATTTTCAGATCTTATTTTAAGATCAAATACCTTCGATGCGAGAGAGAGAGAGAGAGAGAGAGATGCCTTAGGAAATTTCCACTTTGAAATTCTCAATAGAGTTTATTCTAAAATATATAATATAGCTTTTATATGCTAACTACTAGTATTTAAAAATGAGATAGCAAATAAAAATTGAGGTTACATTATTCCATAAAGATCTTAAGAAAACAGAAATGAGCGTTACTTTACTGCCTGGCAACGAAATTATGATTTTTCATTTCATAACTGTAATTTCTTTTATTGAAACCATCGACCAACTTATTTATCTAGTCATTATCTAACCATTAGAAGAAGCAATTTTTACATTACTGGCTAGCAGCGACATTAAACACAAATTTATTATCTCCTTGCTAGACATCGACGAAGTTCTGTTTCTACTAAGGTTATATCTTTTCTCAATCTTCATCAGCGACCAATTCGCGGCCAAACAATCGACGAGAAAATTTCCAATCCTTCTCTCTCTCTCTCTCTCTCTTTCTCTCCCTTAAATATCACCTACATCTTTTCACTTAATTTTAAATATATAAATAAGAGTATATTTTTAGATTTCCGCTGCGCTTCCGATCCGCTAATAATATAGAAGGCTCTCTTCTTCGAGATTAAAGAACATCACTTTTCCGAGCGATCAGCGATAACCGAGTTTCCTCCCGGTGAAAGTAAGATATATCTTATTTTCGCAACGACTGCACGATACGACGAGCACGACGGGCTTGAATTTATCACTGGCGAACGTATTTCGACGGTTTGTTTTCTAATCGGATCCACGGCATTTCGCTTGTAACACGCAGTGATGCGCGCGCGCTATCACACGACTATTATCGCGACGATGCATTTTCGTCGCTCTCGCGGATGATGCGACTCATCATACGGGCACCGTTACGGGCTAAATTAGTGTTTACACTGTTCCAGGAGTACATATGTACATTATCCCGACGTCGGAGTTTATTTAAAACCGCGCGTCATGTTGAACGCAATGCAAAAATCAGTTTGCGAATGAGCATTGACAATTTCACTTGTCCATCGCCATTTGTTATTTTTCGATATTTATAATCATACACGTGGAATATTGTTGTTAAAAAAAAATATATATATATATATATATCTTATTTGTTTAAGATAGTCGGGAAAATAAAGTCAAGGAATTCCTCTTTCTACATAATGAAAAATATTAATATTAAAGATACCATGTAAGGATATATAATAAATAGGCAAAATAATGTAATTTCAGTGTTTTCATTTCATATTTTTATCATATCCTATAAGTGTCAGTTGTAAGACCTACTTTTTGGAAGCGTCAATTTTCAAATATATTAAAAAATAATAATTTGCAAGAAAATAATATAATAACTTTCATAAAAATATTTTATATTTCGGCAAGGAAATACTGCCGTTTTGTATCCACGTATATAAATTAAAATTTCACATCTTCAACAGAATTTTAGAATCCAAGTAAAATGATATGTCTATTTTTGTTGTGATGCTTTTCTTTGATATCTTAGCCGAGCAAGACTGCCATGCTATTTTTTCGATTCATAAATATTTATAACTTCGAAAAAAACTCTCTGAGTGTAATTATGGCTGCACTCAGCAGAGAAAGTAGCTCAACGAGCGCTCAGTGATTATCGTCTGGAATATTTTTCGGAATCTTTGATAAATCGAGGATGAATATATCAATCAGGAGCAATAATCACTACGTTCCATTCTCTGCTGAATGCAGGCAGCGATATAATTATGATTAATGCTTATATCGTTTTCATTAGGGCGGAAAAATCAATCCGCAAGTTCGCGTGTTTTCCGGAACGTAGCTGTAAATCTGCAAAATTCCAAATCGGAGATCGACGCTTTGCGACTATTGAATTAGCGCGTACACATTTAGTTTAATCCTCACGTGGCGCGGCCGAAAATTCAAAACAACGCATATTTCACCTGGAATTACTCGGACATCGCGAAGAGCCCGAGGGAGCGGCGCGAGATCACGATTGCGTATCTCGCGAGATCGAAGACAGTTAACGAAATCCCGGCGCGCGCGTGGCCGCTTCAGAGAGATACGATGGCCGCGGTTAATTTCCCCGGCAACCAACGGGCCAGAGAGCGGACACGGGTGCATTAATTTCACCCCGCAGCCGCGTTATATCCGTTGCGATCCAGTGACGTAACCGACAGCAGAATGAAATACAGGCAGCACAAAATATCCTGAGATCGTTCTGGATGCGCGCTGACAGGGAAAAGAATGATTACTGTTATCATAATTTATATTCATTTCTGGCGCGATTATATATTTTTATAGCGCCTTCAGTTATATAAATTGTACTTCTAATCCAACAATACGTTATAGCAATTATCACTATGACATTTTCGTTCAAAACGACCATATCATGCGATTATTACGCATTAAAATGATTAAAGTGATTTAGGACGAGTTTCCTAACGTTCGATTAATTTCAAATCACCGCTGATTATTCCATTGGAACTGATCCGTCGCGTTTGTCATTTGTTTTAAGCAGAACTGACCAGAAATAACCAATCACGGTTGACACTTAACCGATTGGTAATAAAATCTTAGTCGTATGAATTTTATTGCTACAATAATGATGAGAAATAACAGAAGGAACTATTTCTATTAAGTGTTACTATAATGTCAGTAATATTAACCTTATAAACATACTGCTGCTGCTGCTTTTCTGTTCGAACAACAAAGAAAACATCATAACGCCGGGAATGACTAAGATTTTCGTGGGATTAACCAGTCTCTTCTCCCGGTGTGGAGGCGAGCGCAAACGAATTCGCGATAATCCGGTAGGAGACGCGGCGCCGATACGGAGGATTTCGCCACCGATCCCGTCACGACGTCGAGTCGTCGGGATGTTCTTCGCATTTTTCACGACCGCTCGGCAGCGTCCGCTCTCGATCACGATCGAGGGATTCCCGGCCTCATTCCCCGACGACCGGGCGTCGACGACGGCGTCTTCGGCTTTAAAAAAGCGACTCCCGTGCATTATTAATTGTTGAGAATTATTGAAAGAATTATTGAAGGCGGCCGGGAAGACGGACGATTTATTATTCCGCGACTAGCGCCGTCAGCGGGACGCGATAATCAAGATCGATCCTCTCGAGCACCCCCGCAGCGTGGGACGGAGCTGGCTCGAACGTTAGTTACGCTATTGCGCCGCGCAGTTGCACCTCGCGCGGCTGCACGCGTGTGTCGATTTCCAGCGGCGACGAAACCGCTCTCGAGATTAGCCCTCGCACGTACCAGGGCTATCTTGCGGCGCGTTATTCATGAGCCGCGAGCTCCCGCGCTCAACTACGTGTGCTTCGGAGTAATCTATCGCGGAATTTGTTCCGCCGGCGCTCTGCGGCCGGCGAAGCGCGCGCGGTTCACGTGCGTGCGCGCGCGAGGCGAAATTCATTCATTCGTGATCCCACGATTCGTGAGCCGCGGCAAATCAGTGGTCTCATTGTTCTCGCAAGGTGATCTGTCGAGATAACTGTCATCTTGAGAAGGAGAAAGACACAGATGTCCGTTTACAATTACATTTCATTCAGCGGGAAAAAAAAGCGTGTGAGCCTCGTAGTTTTAATATGTTACTTTCAGGATTAACTGCGATTCCACCGGTTGCATCGGATTATTGCGTAGATCGCGTTATTCTGCCCGTTATATTACGTTTGCCGTTACATTATCGTAAAAAACGTAAGGAAACATCAGTGACGACACCGAGCGGCGGTTCCGTCGTTAGTCCTTTCAGACGTTACATTATCGCCACGGACACGTCCTCCCCCCTATCTCTCTTTTCCGGTCGTTATACGCCTCAGGAAACGATGTAATCGAGATTTATCGTTTTTTTTAATGTAATCATACCACCTTTCCGTGATGGAACCTGCGCTGCGAACGATTTCCGCGCGCAGGTGAGAGCGTTGAAAGAATCAACGACGCGTGACCTCAATGATAGCGAAAAGCGTTGTCAAAGTCAACATATAAATCTTAAATAGAAACCTCTACTTTTCATAACATATCCTTGTAGCTGACGTTGAGGCGTTTTCAAAACACAAACCTTTTTTTCAATAAGAACTTTCCAAGTTATAAGTCTGGTATTAATTATAAAGATATTTAATGTTAAAAAATTGTGGAAATATAGAAAATCAAAAGAGAAAGAGAGAGAGAGAGAGAGAGAGTATTATTCCATAAAAATCTCAGGAAGGCAGAAGTGAACGTTACGTTACTACTTGGCAACCACTGATCATTTTTCATCTTGTAATTTCTTTTGTTCAACCATCAGCTACCTTATTTACTTAGCTGTTATCTAGCCACTAGAAGAAGTCAGTGTTACATTACCGGTTAGGAGCGACGTAGTAGACGCAAATTTATCACTTCGTGGTTAGACACCCACGGGGTTCAGTTTCCGTTAGGATAATTACGCGCACCACGAGTCCGCGAATGCGGTCGCGAGCAAGCGAGGAAAAAAAGAAACAGACGTCGTGTCGTGGCCGCCGCAACGCTCACATAATCGTCCTTTCCTCCGGCTGGATGATAATGTAAGAGGGTAAACATTTATTGTTTGGGTAAACATTTATGGATTTAAAAAATTGATTTTGTTTAAAAAATACAGTGTTTTGGTACAAATTTATATATTTATTTGAAATAAACTATCTGAGAAGGAATAAAAATGAATCTAATCCCCAGCCTTACTAAAGTGTATGTGTGTGCATATGATGAGTCTATTTATATTAAAACTAAAACAGTGAAGATTGGCAAAGGCCCCTACGCAAGGTGTGTTGTTAATTTACTTATTTAAAATATTGTTATCTGAATTTATAATTATTCCATTATTTTTGGTATTTGTTTCTATTTAGCAGATATATCTTGCGTGTTTCAATTTTGCTATGTTTCAATGTTAGTATAAGATAGATTCATCGCACATGCTTTAGTAAAGCGAAAGGTCTCAGTTTCACAAGCAAAATATGCCAGTTATGATTACGATACGGCTATAATTGTACGGAATTCCTTGTTATGTTTCTTCTCATGTTTGATAACCTTAACCTTGACATGTATTGTTGAAGTAATAGCTTTCGGTAACTTTCATAGGATTTCTAACGGATTTTCTTGGTAACATTTTAGTAAACAATGAGCGACGGCTGAAACCTTTCGAATGTTACTCAAGGCTGTGACGACCTTGGCAATATATGTCAAAGACACAGTCGTATCTCGTTAAACGCAATATTTACCGTACTTTTCTATCAATGCTTGCTCAATAGTCTTCAGAAGCGAGTATCTCGCGTTTTCCGTCCACTTTCGAAAAACTCGCTGGCCGCGCTGCCTCTTCAGCGCGCCTCGCCGCCGGAAAATTCGATGTTTTACGAATACTCGTGTCAAGGAAATCATGGCCGATCTTTTCCCGCTAGTTTCTCCTCCGAGTAAGATAACATTCTAGAAAGATACCGAAACGTCGACATTGCGTAAGGCCGTCGTAGCCGATGACGTCTAATTATAGCTCCCCGGCGACGGCGGCGGCGACGCCGATTAACATCATGTATACCCGAAGCACCTGCGCATAAAACTTGTGTGCCGGCTTTAATGCGATCCACGTCACCGACGATTTCCGCCCGACCACGTCCTCCTGATCGCCTGAGAAAACATTTTCCACATGAACCGGCCGTGAGCGAGCAAGATGCTGCCACGGGGAGATCGTGATCGGCGCCGGTGCCGTTTATCGCGTGAATTTGATCAACCACCTGTTGTGCCACACCGCGCGCCTGCCGATAATACTATCCGACGTATAAAGAATTTTCGTCAACAAATTCGAATTTCGACTGGATCTCAGTCCTTCCACCAGAATCCCCATCTATTGTTTCAGGGTTCCATTCGTCTGCGGCCGTTAAGTCAGTTGTTCCGTAAATTTATTATCTTAGCAATCTTCTCAAGTTTTACCAGCATATCAATCGAAATCCAGCCTACATTCATGTCAAATCAAAAGAAGATTGACCGTATCGAAAGGCGAGATAATTGAAATTAAAATCAGCGCTATCTGCATGTGTCACAAGTACGTACAGAAACGGTTTCCGGTATCGTGGTTTAATGTTATCAACTAAATTACTCTTAAGATTTTAATGAAAAACAAAAAGACGATAAAAGAGACTGGTAGAAATATTATAAAAAAATTTGCAAGATCGTTGCCGCCGGCTGTATATGTTGTATCATTCTCTAGATCGAAGCTCTCTTCTCTAAGGCTCTCATCTCTAAGGCCGACGCCTCCGCGCCACGCACACTCCGGGTCTCGAAGAAGAAGCGAGCGGAAGATGAAGACGGTCGTCGAATTATCCTGACGCCTATCAGGCTTCGTCGGCAGCCGAGATATCTCGAAAGAGCTGCGTGCCAAACGCGCTTTGATGGATCCGCGCGTTTAACCGCGACGACACGACAGTGACTAACCGCGCGTAGGTTCTGCATCCTTTCCGGAGACAAAATGCCGGGACGAAAGGAAGCAAAACTACGAGGGAGGGCACGAGAGATACCCCCGGCGACCCTTACGCGTTAATTGATAAGGGTCGAGCCGAGACTAAGTTGGCAACATCCATTCCGCCGAAAGTATCCACACGTCGAGCGGACGAGTCAATAAGTCAACCCTTTGAGGACGAGCGACCTGTTCCTGGAAAACGTTCTCTTTGTGCCTCGAGGCAATCGATGATAACAAGGCTCTTACGGCCGTTAATGAGATTAGTTAATTAACTCCCACCGTGGTAAATCTGCAATGACGTTTTTGCTTTGCAGCTTCGCGTGGCGGCCGGACGAATTCTGGAAACGCCGATCGATGGATTACACATGGCAAACCCGCGCGGACAGGCTGGATGTATTTTTTCCTTGATCTTTACGCCGAAATTCCTCCGGCTCGAATTATTTCTCTTTCAACCGTTCGACTCCACAATCTATCGCAGAGAACCTTTTCACATTTTCGGCTTCCCGCGGCTAATAATAATTTGAATACCACTTGACAGTGGAATGACATACCGATGAAGTTCACGCGGCGGAATGAAAACGGCCCGGCCGCGCAACTTACATCATTCAGGGTCCAACTTACGCGGCGGCTGAATAAACCATAGTCACGCAAGAAAGATCCAACCCGCGAAATTATGATTCTTCAGATTTTCTTGCCAATGTACGTGAAAGAAAAAGATTCAAGCCTTAGAGGCGGCCGAAATTAAATCAAAACATAGTTCTTCATTCTCTAAAGGTTAAGCTTGTGTAATGAATACCCTCAAAGATACGTGAATGGATGGCATGCTTGACTTCTTGAACGATTGTAAAGAACCTCAGTGCTGTTTATACTTGGAAATCGTGCGTCGAATTGCATCGCGCTTACCTACGGGCTTGCGCTCGAAGCGCGCTGCACTTTCTCCCTTACTTTCGTCGGAGAGATTGGACGGTGAAAGCGCGTCGTCAGAAGGGACCACCGGCTGGCTCGTCCAAAGATCAGGGATGCGATTAGGCACACGAAAGCCCCGGGAATCCGCGAGGCAACTCAGCCGGCCGAGCAGGCCCGGACACGACGCGCATCCTCGTCGTCCTCGTGCGTCCTCCGACGATCAGGCGAAGGTCGAAGGAACGTCGATCGCGCTTCTCGATCTCGATGGAGATCGACGACCGGAGCGCGCGCGGTCGAGTAGTCGTCGAATCGTCCTTGCGAATTCCGCGGCGAATCAACGCGGAGAAGTCTTACAAGGCCCGTGCTTGACCCGCTCCCGATTCTCTATTCCGTTTCGTTCTACCAACTCGAGGTCGCTAAGAAGGACGGAAAATTGCAGTCGAGGCGATTCACTCGTGACGCGCCGCCGTTTCCGCGACGCGTCCGTCTACCGTCGTTGATCCTCGTGCACGATGCTAAATCCCGACTCTACTACGACTACGCCGTGCAACGTTCACCGACGAGAAATTAATTCACACTCGCGCGTGTTGCCGCGCGTCACTCGTGGCACACGCACACTGGAAAATCGCCGCACCAAGTGGCCCCTTCTTCGGGGGGAAAAAGTAGGAAAAATGCGACAGCGATAACACGTCCGACGTGATGAAATTCGACGATATAGTTCACTCCGGGACTTCGCGAGCGAAAGCGCGGGGGGATCGCCGTGGAAATTCTCGCGGGCACTCGCGGACGCGCTCGGTTCCAGCGAATCCTGTCTCACCCCTTTCTCGTGTTTTCGTCGGAATTTCAATGAAAATCGCCCGCACCGTCGCGTCGGGGAAAACCAAGCGCGCAAAACCGCACCGCGCTAACAGTCGATCGCATATGCGAACGCACTAGTCGCGGAGGGCCGATAGGCGAGGGAGAAGCGTGCAGGGAGGCGCGGGGGCGGCTGAGCCACGCCGAGCGCAACGTGACCGCCGATCCGCGGCCGATCCAATTGGACGTGCTGGTCACGTGGTGCCGCGGTCACGTTGCAGCCGCCGTGGCCGAGAGTGCGAGCGGGGAAACGCTTTCCTCCTTCGTCGTCCGTCTGTCTGTCCGCCCGAGGCCGTCCGTTTCTACTGCCCGATCGTTTCCTACTCGCAGTTTCCACTCGCGATCGGCATGACTCGACCGGAATTAGGCTCGATTTCCCTGTTTACCGTACGGGGATTTATTTGGATTCCTTCTCCCCCTTCTTAAGTAATAAAATATAAGAGTATTTAATACAGTGAGAGAAAAAGATTGTTAACATTTGTATATCTAAAATCGATGTCTTAAATTATACACGCAGAAAAATATATATGCTCGTACACTGAGGAGAAAATGTTTGATATTTGTAACTATGTAATACCATAACTATAAATTATAATGAAGGGATTGTAGTTGAGAAAACAATTGTTTCCAGTGAGTGTTATTATAGTGTCAGTGATAATAATCTTGTGATAATGTATGTCGCTACAGCTATTTTTGTGATTAAAAACAAAGTAGGATATAATTGCCCTCACAGTACTGGACATTACAGGGAGGTTACAACCTTATAGAGTTTAATGAGAAGGTTACTGGTATATACCATCCTTACAGAAAACCTTTACAGGAAAGTATTGCTGGCCAATTTACCACAGGCAGCAATACTTTTTTTTATAAGAGCCGAACAATGTCGAGATGCTCTAGAAGAAATCATACATCGTCGTATACAGAACAAGATCGATTATTATAAGTGATTATTGAAAGGAGTAAGTATACCGAAGGGGAGACCTAGACTTTGATCTTGACACATATCATAGAGGTGACCGTCTTGAGTAACCTTCAGGAAGTTCTGTTCGTCGCTCGTTGTTTGTTAAAATGAAAGAAGTTTGAGTTGTTCTAGTTATTGACGCTTAAATCTTTCACCTTACTAAATTAATGAGTCTGTTTTTACTAAAATAACAGATTCTGAAAAAATGAGCAAAGACTCTTACGCAAAGTTTGAGAATTGAACTTTGAAATTATTCCATTTTTATGAGTCTCGCCTCCTCATCGCGAGTTATTAAATTCATATAAATATTTAAAACAAACTATTTTGACGCTAGAAACAGCGAAACAGAAATTTAAGATTATCCAAATAGGAGTCTAAGTAGGAGTAAATTATATATTAAAAGAAAGAAATTATTACATTGAAATAAAGATTTGCTAAAGAATATTGGAGTAATTATTTTATTTGGATTAAATAATTACTTCGACACCCCTTAACAAATATTTATTTGAATGTAATATTTTTCTCCTTCAATGTATCATTAGAATTGAACCTGTTTTGATACTTTAGCTACCACAGTTTTGCAGAGAATTAAAGGTTTAACAGAAAGCCAAAATCCTAACTCGGCCATAGTGACGCATCTACGACAAAGATAGACCCCTATAATTATTTCATTATATGATTATTACAAATATTTTGTTCTCAGTGCATTCACGAAGAAATGAATGAAACGTATAATATATATCACTTAGAGGAGCCGTAAATTCTTTCGTTGGGTTTTCCTCCATCTCTCTCGGTAAAATCGCAGTTGATTCGCCCGTGACGAAAATCTACCGGATGTTCCAATTCGCCGAGATATCTCTCTTTTTTTCTCCCTCTCCCTCTCACAGTGAAAGGGTTTCCCCGCGCCAGAGAATTCAGCTTTACGGCTGTAAGTGGATAACGCGACTTGGTGCCTCGGATAATTGCGGACTGACTTCGCTTTAAACGAGAATTTCATTTGCACCTTACTTGAAATTCTCAAGATGCTCGGCGCCGAGTATTGAAAAGTCGCTACGTGATGATCTCCCACGATATTTTCGTCGGGTAACAGCCGTCGTACATAATTAAAGCATAGATCAATATTTCTGCAAGTCTTCAAAATTATCTTATAATGTTTCGAAAGAAACCCCTAAAACTCATCTATCGAAATGAAATGTTCCAAATAAGATATACCTCCTTAACGAGTTTATTTTCGGAAAAAAGCCGAGTTCTTTCCCTCAAAATATATATAATTTCCAATAAAATCGCATTCAGTGCACGCGAAACGAGAGTCGTCTCCGACGAATTGCTTGCATATATTTCGCACTTTGCGTAACTGTTCGCGCAACATCAATTCGCAGGCGGCGGGCTGCGGTACGAAGTTGCTATTGATCCGAAAATCTGGTTTATGTAACGAATTTGCGCCCGCCGGATTAAAATAGGCTTCGCGTGTTGAATGAAGCGTGCATTTAACTATTCATCGGCCCATCGATCCGCCGGAATAGTCTCGTTTATCGCGCGATACGTGCATGGCCATTTCGCGGAGACGCCGATCTCGATCGCGGACGTTACGATGCGTGCTGTGCTCTTGAATTAATTGCAGGGTAGTTGCGGAATAAAACACGAGGCGATACATTGACTTATTGTCGCAAAACTTCTCACCACGTCTACGAAACATACTTCGCAGATACTCAGCGACTTACATCGTCATCGTAATCTCGAGCGATAATTAAAACGCCACTTCTGCGTGTCGCGCGCTTAATCGGCATGTCGATAGTGCAAAAGATTCGTGATCGAATGAGACGCACATTCGAGACTTTTGCGATTTCCAGATTTGCGAGTATTGTCGTGAACTCGCGTTCTGACCGATATCAGAGAATTGTGCTGCTTTCTTTCTCTCTCTCTCTCTCTCTCTCTCTCTCTCTCTCTCTCTCTCTCTCTCTCTTCCTCTTTCTCGTCTATCAACGACAAAAAGAGAAGAACGAATCGTTCGAAAGCAGAACGTTGCTTCTAATTCTAATTAATTCTAACGGAGAAATTATTTAAAATATATCCTCCTTCTTCCTCATTCGCATCCTCATCGAGCAAGCCTCGCATTTCTGCACATCTCGCAATTATTAAATTGTGTTGATTATTAATAGAGTTGTTACATGAGAGATAAAGAGATAGAGAGAAGGAGGATTTTCAAATTTTGCATTTATGTCGATTTGAAGAAAATCGCAATTTATACCCCTTTTCGATAAAAGATAGTAGGATAGATAATATTCCTTATACCGTTAAGGACCAAATGAAACGATAAAAGGAATTTTGTGGGTTGCGGAAGGTATATTGAACTTTTGGGATACACTGGATATTGCGTAAGTCTCGGTGCATCTCTCCTCGCTTTATCCTTATTTTGTGCGATGCGTTATAAAGGGAGATCCTGTTCATTGCCGTGCCGCCATTGTTGCAACTCGCTATGTTCGCTGTCGCTATGTCCCGCGCATTGCATAAGAAAGAATATTTATCTCTGCGATATCCTTGACCGTATTATCGCGCTTACGCGTAATAAGTTTTCCTATGCCGTGCGCGCGAGACGCGTCGCATGATCGAACCTGTGCAAATGGAAATGTGCATCTTCGATTCTTTCGGAGAAATATTATCCACGACACAATCGTTCCTCACACTCTCTGCTGAGCGACGAAGCTACATCCTACATTTGCTCGTAACGTCATCTGGAAAGAAATTCACCGTTATTTTGTTTGTGAAAATCGTTGCCAGATACTCCGTGTGAAATCTTCTTCACACGCGTCCTCACCTTATACATTGGGTCGGACAGGTAGTTCGGCTCAGTTTTCAATCTTTTCCGTGCCGCCATTGTTGCAACGATAAACCGGTCATCTCCTATGACTGAGATAGCCGAACGCTGCCGTAACAGCAGCGAAGAATCGTGGATGACGATTGAAAACAGCTATAAAACTGTTGCTGCGCCTTTTAGCAATACAGCTAGCATATATTTGTAACTCGATCATAAGTTGTCTGTCATGTTGTATGTCTCATAAAATAAATATGATTATTATTATTAGTAGCATTAAGGAGGTTGTAAGGCTCAATGTCATATTTTCAGCGATGCATTAAAAGGGCCACTAATAAATTTAATATTTATTAAGCAAAATTACATTCCTACACCTTTATTTTACTTTCTTTCTTTCTCTTTAGCGCTACAGCTCTTTGTAGGACCTGGACCTAATGCCCAAATTTCAGATGTTTTCTCAATTCCGGGTAGATGCTTTTCTTTACACCTAAGTGCGACATTCTGCAACTGATTTTTGTAATTAGCGGGGAAGGCTGGCAATTATTTTAAGCTGGGTTGCGCTACCGCATACGTGCATCATGCCGCTTTTGAAAGTAAGATTTTGCTGAAAAGAAACATTCTTCGGAATTTTTCTCGCAAATTCATTACGTAATCTAGATAAGAGATATTTAAATAACGTTTATGCCAAAAAGTAATTTAAACTATATAGTTAAAGCGCAGTTTTTATGTTATTTAAAAAACATCCCACTGCCGTTCAGAGTTAGATTATGTTGGCTAATATGTAGACACGTGTTTGTTCCTAATTACAAGTAGGAGGTTGCTCAACATTTTTATATTTTTATTTAATTTATCAATGATTTTTTATTTATTTAATTATATTCTGTTTCATTTCATGTTCGAAACTATATATAACTTCTTTATATTGGATTGGAAGGAAAGTAATATCGTATTTTTCTAGCTCAAAAGCTTGGAGGAAGTTTATTTATATTTAAAGACAACTTCAGTCAGTAATGTAACGGCCATTGTTTTCCATAATCTTACTCAGGAAAATGTTTTGCTGGTCCAATTAGAATTCTAAATGTCACAGGCAAAATGTATCGCTATTTTCTGCTAAAAAATTGTCTGTACTACATATAATTTATAGCAGCAGCATTCTAGCAATATGTGCAGGAAAATTTAAATCCTGTTACTAATTTTTAATAAGAAGTATGATTGGTTTAACACGTTGGACGCGGAACCGATTTTGCTGTGCTTTCCGTTCAGGCGTCGGGGAGCGCTCAGCGGATGCTTGAGCATACAGAGTATAAATATAAGATAACGCGCTCAATGCGATAGCAATTTGATTTCGCTTTCTATTTATACGATGAGGAAACGGTAAGGTGACCGACCAAGAGACAATCAGTTAGGGCAAGACCGCGAAAATTTTAGTTTGTTCCCTAGGAGTCCTATAGTTGTGTTCTACAAAGCTAAATAATTTATTGATTATTTTCACAAATATTAGTTACCCATAAAACTGAAAATGTTGAAAGAAGATGGCAGTGATACGAGTCGAGTGAATTATTTTTACCGTCCAAAAGTCGACGTAAACATGTCTTTTTATATTGTATAAATTACAAAATTTATTTTTTTAACTTGATACCGATCCCCAGAGACCGACGCCGCGTTCAACGTGTTAATGATGTCAGAAGCGAAAAAACGTATGCCAAGATTGTTTTCATTATACTTTCAAGTAAAAAGATATATCTAGAAAATGACATTTGCGATTTTGGTTCAGCACACTTATAAAATTGGACGAATACTTTTCTTTTTCTTCGCTTCTGGTGTCATTAAACAAGGACAGTCATAACGACTACTCCGGAACTTTAAAGCGACAACTTGGTTGACAAATCATTTCTTTCCACTGAATATATAACTGAGTCAAATTTGCTTCAAAATTCGAATCGTGTTGTTTGACTTATCCTGCAATATAAACCAGATATCTCGCACCTTGTTTTCCCTACTCCATTATTCAAAGGATATAAAAAGATTCATCGGAGGACTTCAAATTTTCGTATCCGTAATCAGTTCGATTATTTTTCTAGTTACGTTCTCGATACACTTACAAAAGTTCTTGTTATAAAATTATTATTTGGGAGAAAAATTTCGCGGGATCGTCACCTCAGGTCTTAATTTACAGAACTTTCCGACGCTTCTCGGCGGAAGCAGGGGGGCTTTTCAATGCGCTGCAAATACGACAGGTACTTTAGAATAATACTTTTAGAATAATTACAATCATTTATTCGTTTTCACATACAAAACGTATCAAGAAGAACGGATGGAGCGCCTCCGCGCGATCTTCGCCGAAGGCTTCCGTTGCTCTTGCTACATCTTCTATCGCAAAACCGTGTACGTGTGTGTGTGTACGTGTGTGTGTGTGTGTGTGTGTGTGTGTGTGTGTGTGTGTGTGTGTGTGTGTGTGTGTGTGTGTGTGTGTGTGTGTGTGTGTGTGTGCGCGCGTGCGCGTGTGCATACGTGTGGCATATATAAAAATGACTCTTCCTAAAAATCCGAAATGAGTGTCTCTTCGTTCGTTCAAACGGTTTCTTCGTTCGAGCTAACACTACGCTTGCTTTAATCTCTCGATGCTCTAGCTATCGATATATAATATTCGATACGCTATTCTGTAAATACATATGTACATACAATACATGTATGCATGCAACTCTATACACATATTGTACGTACATACACACGTATATAGATTATATATATAACCGCTCTCTATAACTAAATATCTTCTCTATACATCTTCTATATTATTTATAGCTTTTTTCCATAAATTTTTTTCATGCGCTTTTTTCTTTACAGTATACTCTCGTTAGATTATTTGTTATTCATAATACGATCTCGTGATTTTATGAAAC